TTCTTACATCCCAATCATTCTGTCTTTTTAAGCAATTCAGGGGAAAAAAACCCAACAATCTTCCTCTGCACTTGCTGCATTGTTTCCCTTCCTTCCCCTTCTCAAATCAAATTTAGAAAAACAGGCAAATAAGATGTGTAACCGCCTCTTGCCTCACCATTTCAGCTTGATGCCCTTTACAACAATCCTATCTGACAGGTTCAGTGCTGAGCTGCATGAAGTGCTTCCTACCAGTGTGGGTGGTCTGAGTCACTCCACAGTGGACCTGGCAGCTGAACGCAATGGTATGGACCTGGGGCAACAAGCAGGCTCAGGAGGAGCATCTTGGGTTTCATTTGCTGCACATTTGCCTGGAATCCCACAGACAGGGCATTGCTCGCTGTGGCACACTACAAGGCTCAGTGAGCTAGTCTCTTCACTTGAGAAGATAATTCTCCTGTTGTAAAGACATGTTTAGCTTAGCAATTAATCCATTGATTTTCAGGACTTCTATCTAATTGTCCCTCAACGACTGCAGGATGAGACACACAACATTGTTTATGATCTAGGCATAAGGGATTAATCTAAAATACAGGCTTAATGTCCAGTTATTTATAACATCAGTATCATAGACACTGATACTAAAAGTTATTCCAACAAGGCAGACCTCTGCATCTAAGTGGTGTCCATGTCAGTGAGTCAAGGGTGATCCCCTACACAGACATCTCGAATCAGGGTGAGAGCATCCTCTCAGATTCAATGGGAGTTTGCCACAGGAAACAGAGAGTGGAAAGAGTTTCCTCCCACATCTGGCTTCTCTGCATTAGGTCCAACGACAATTAGGAGAAAGCACCAGTATATAATGTTTGGGACATTGTAGTTCATAACACACTCAAGCCTCCATCCTGCTTCTGTAACAGTCAGCTACAGTTCCTGATTGTCACAGAGCATACTCAGCAGTCTCTGGCTTTATAACAACTATAACTATAACTATAACTATAATTATAACAACTATAACTAACTATAACTATAACTATAACTATAACAACTATAACTATAACTGGGAAGAAGTCTTGCTCCTCCTTATCCTGCCAGTGTCTTCCACTGTAATTACCCATTCATGCTGCAGCCAATCACATGCTCTATCTCCCAGAATGAATAAGATCAACCACCACAGATGTGCAAGGACAAGAAATTAAATATTTATAAACAGTTGTATTTATTCTGTTTGTTTATTACAAATAACTAAGGGTCCTTGTCCTTAGAGAGAACTAACTAACCAGGAAATTTTGGGTGTTAAAGTGCAGACATTTCTGAGTTATGCTTGAGCATAAAAACATATGAAAATGTTTACAAGGCGAAACATCTATATTTTTTTCAACATTGTTGAACTTAAAAATTGCAAAGAAATTTGCTTAAAGTTTCCAGGAGGAAAAATCATCTTGCCTGAAGTAATGCATGGAAAAATTCAAGCCTAAAGGAGAATTTTTCAACCGAGTATTGTCATGTGCAGAAGGGGATAAGGTAGTAGAGGCTGCAACACACACCCAGATCCTAAGGTGAGTTGAAACAATTGAGAGAGAGATGATGGCAGGTAAGAGTTTCTTTATGTCAACTTAATGGCACTACAGAAGGCAAGATTCAGATCCATAAACATATCCATAAAAGAGATTCCCATAACTGCCTTTATATCAAATATCTCATATAAAATTACATATTTATATATTAACATAAATCTCTCATTCTATAAATTCCATATATGCATTTATAATATATATTATAAATTATATCTGCACATCAATATAACTATTTCTATAGGGAGAGATAAACCAAACATGGCATTCACTTTTTTTTTTGTCATAGAATGCATTCTCCTTCAGGTGTTTTGAGAATAGTGGTTTGTTAAAACAGGAGTTGTCATATACAATATTTAACAGATGTCTGGTTTTAGATAACATGCCCATTGACAAGCTGTGGTTCTCTCCTGAATACTTTTATGCCCTAAAGCTTGGGTTTGCCTAGATTATTTCTCTCCTTCCTCCTCCCCCACCCATACCATTCCACCTTTCTCCTTCCCTGCCTCTCCAGGGTCTACTCATGAGGCAGCTACACTGCAATTTTGATTTGCATCTGGTGTGAAGAGCCTGGCCTCTTACTCTCTAACATCCCTGTGTGCTGCTTCCTCTCAGGTTCATTTCCCTGAGGACAGCCAATGTTGGATTGTATGCCAGGGCTGCAAGACTGAGTTATTTGGCTATTCTTTGTACCTTTGTCCTCCTGGGTTCTGTTGAGGCATAGAGATACTCCTTGGAGTTTATAACAAACACACATTGGAATAAGAAAGAAGGCATGTATATATTTCACTTTGGAATTCTCTATCAGATACTTGATATTTGTCCTCAGGTAATTAATCTGTAGTGTACTCCTTTATCCCAGTGTTTGTCCTGCTCCTGCTGGAGTAGCGGATGAGTGTAAGTGGATGCATGGAGATGAGTGTGATCGAATGATCTCAGTGAAAGCTGAGAGGAAGCAATAGAGGATTCCTTACAAAGTAGAATTATACCAAAAATGTCTAGTTGCTGGGTTTGCTCTCTGCATCCATTTATACAGGACAGATATTGTACTCAGAATTTCACACATAATTTCATAAGTATGAGCACAACTCTGGACAATGGACCTACATTTTCTCTCGAGCAAAGTGCAATCAAGATGACAAAGGGACCAAACTTCCAAATTATAAGTACTCAGGACAATAGCACTGTGCCAAATGTGTTAAAATGCAAATAAATTATTAATGATATTTTATTTGAACAAACTCAGTGCTTTAAAATTTCTTTCTTGAATGCTGCATCTCAGATGACTTACAATGGCCACACTGACCTCAGATCCTAAATCAGAGAGTTTTTAGTGATATGCAGATGATGGATCAAGTCACTAAGATGTCAGCAATCCAGACTTCCAGAAAATAAATAGTGCATACAGTTCCTCTCTGATAGACAATGCATCTTGAGGAGGCATTTCTGCAAAGAAGAAGATCCAGATCCTGGATCCCACTTAGAAATCAGGAACTGCTGTCTACTTGACATGAAAGTGGGGTTAACAAACATATAACAGGTGACATCTTGCCACTTCAAGAAAGAATTGCTCCCAGTTCCACCTGGGTTTCCACCAACATACTTACCTCCTCTAATGTGGAGAAACAAACTGTGGAGCAACCTTGGAAAAGTACTGATCTCTGCCATAGTTTAGCAGCAATGTAAGTAATTGTGCAAAACAGCAAGCACATACAAACCCATTGATGACATCCACGTGGCTGGCACCAGCTTTACAAAATTAAAATACTGTTGACTTTAAGAGTTGCTCCTACTTTACATGGGTCTGAAAGATGACTAAATGTCTGGCAGTGCACACCACAAGTGTTGTCAGTCACTCCAGCAGGGTGATGCATGCAATTAAAAAAAAAAAAACTAGAGAACGTGCCAGATAAAGAACTGGTATGAAAGGTGAGAGATTGAGATATAATTCCTAAGTGTGCCCTAGATTTCCTTAGACAGTGCAGCCAACACAATACTTACATGCTGCAGATCTCCATGAGTAAAGTGGGAATAACAACTTTCCATTCCACTGTCTTTCAGCTGACTGAGAAGCTCTTAAGGCTGAAGGTTCTCTCCTGTTGTATATGTGTGGGGATTTTAATTTAAGCATCACTGGGAATGCTGTGTACGTGATTCAATGTCATGTAATGTTCAGTCATTAATTAAGTCATCTGAAAAAATATTCCTGCTGTTTTCTGTTGTAAAGGGTAATTTACTTCTATGAGAAAACACACATTTATATTTTGGAATCTACATATTTTTACTACATTTGAAATATTAATGAGTGAGTTTAATTTTGGGAGGGGTTATACCAGACAGTTGTGGTGACATTGAGAAGGACCTCAACAGGCTGGAGAAATGGTCCAAGAAGAATCTCACAAAATTCAACAAAGGAAAATGCAAAGTCTTGCTCCTGGGGAGGAATAACCCCAAGCACTTGGAGACACTAGGAACTAACTAGCTGGGAAGAAACTTTGCAAAAAAGGGCCTGGTTGACCTGGTGGACAGCATGTTAAACGAGCAATGTGCCATAGCTACAAAGAAGGCCAAGAGCCCTCTGGGGTGCATTAGGAAGAGCATTGCCAGCAGGTCAAGAGAGAGGATCCTTCCCCTCCACTCAGCACTGCTGTGACCACAGCTGGAGTGCTCTTTCCTGTTCTATGCTCCCCAGTAGAAGACAGACATGGATATATTGCAGTGAATCCAGTAGAGAGCCACCAAAATGATTAAGGGATTGGAGGACCTGATGTACAAGTTGAAGCTGAGAGAGTTGGGATTGTTGTACCACTAGAAGAGAAGGATCAGGAGGATCTTACAGATGTGTTCAAATACCTCTTGAATGGATTAAAGACAGAGCTAGGCTCTTCTCAGTGGTGCCCAGTGAAAGGACAAGAGTCAACGGGCACAAACTGAAATACAGGAAATGAAATTTAAACATAAAAAAAAAAAAAAATTTATTCTAAGAGTGATCAAATACTGCGACAAGTTGCACAGAGAAATTGTAGAGTCTCCATCCCTGGAAATATTCAAAACCCAACTGGACAATTGGACAAGTCCCTGAGCAACCTGTTCTGTCTGCCCCTGCTTTGAGCAGGCTGTTGGATTAGATGATCTCCAGAGGTCCCTTCCAACCTTAGCTATTTTGTGATTTTGTGGCTGAATGGTTTCTATGCACTTGTCTCAGCTGGGAACACTGGACTCACACAGTATAACAGATACTAGGACTCATCATTGTTACTATGCTAGTAATGTGGTAGTCTCATAGCCCTGCTGTCTTGCATGTAATTTCTGCAAACTACAAGTGTTTTGGGGTTTTTCCCCTTTTAGCATATTAATTTATGACATACAATCATATGATATACAGTGATTGGTCCTATGTAAAGCTACGGTTATTGCAGAAAGGGAAAGGAAGTTCAGAAAACCTACTCATTTCCATGTATTCTGGAGTCAGCCCAGTGAAAGGTTCCAAGCTATAGTCAAGATCCCATTGCTGAGGGTCCTTTGGTTGGTTGGTGTCGATTTCCTTTGGCTCAGTTCTTTCATCCTTCAGCTTCCTGAACAACTTCTTTAGCTTCCTGAGGAACAAAAGTTCAGATCAAACAAAGACTTTTTTTTTTTTTTTCTTACAAGATTTGACCCAAGTCTTTGCACAGCAACGCAAAATGTATACCACATTACTTTAGTGCCCCATAGGCTTAGTTTATACCATACTCTGAAGTTCTGGTGCTGCTTATTGCCAGGTGACAAGCTGCTGGGGACAGCAGTTCCTGTGTCAGGATGAAAGTTACAACAGCATAACACTTAAAATGGACCAGAACCCAGGACTTTTTAACAAGTATTTCTCTGTGGGTATGTGTTGAATGGGCATTTTGTTGAAGCTCAAGCACTTTGGACCTAAATAATATTAAGTAATACTCTCAAAACCAACACAATGAGTACCTATCCCTTAAGAAAGAAACAAACAAAATACCAGAAGGTAATGTGATACCTTCATACGGCATACCACTTATCTAACACAGGTGTGCTTTTCTATCGCATGAAACCTGGGAACTTCTATTATAGTTTACTTTTAAGGTCAAAATGGCTAGACATGTTGCCAAACAAAGAGAGTGCAAGAATGTACTGATTCCTAAACCTGATGGACATTTTAACAGAAAAACTGCTGTTTTTCAGAGCAAAAGTAAATGAGTATAATAAATCCACCACACCAAAAAAAAAAAAAAAAAAAAGTCTCTCCAAGATACTGTTAGTTCCAAAGCCCCTTAGGACACTAAAAATGAATATTATTGACTTAAAGCCAGTGCTATGGCCACCGGAAAACACCTGAAGCTCTTCAGGTTCCAGTACTCTCTTGTCACAAGCACATGTACCTGAGTTTATCTAAACAGACAAAAAAAGATTCTGCTTGTGGAGCCTTAAAGGGGAAGTAACTGAAGGTCATATTGACCGTGTTTTACAATAACATTATCCATTTTGGCCAGACTATAAATTACTCACATGGGTGAACAATTATTTGTGCAAATATTTATTTGGACCTCAGTAGGAATAGTAGTATCAATTACCTTCCCACTGAGATGGAGATACATATTTCATGACATTGACAAATATATTAATTTCTTAAGTAGTATAATCCCAGAGTAAAATGAATCCATCTCTAAAATAAGAGCAAAGTATTCCCTGTGCCCCCCACAGCCAACATTTTAAATGCACATGCATCAAAAACTTCATGCTATTTTACACATTGATAAATTCTCGTGGAAAAATGCAATAGAATGAGATATTTCTTCAAAATCAAGGAAGTGAAATGCAGTTGAATTAGCATAAAACATCAAGATTTACACTTATTATGTCTTCATTTTGCAGATGAACTTTGTCTTTCACAAATATGCACAACTTTACTTTATATTTGTTCACATATGTGCCATGTGAGTGAAAATCCAGACTAATTCTAGTGATGTGTTGCCAGTACTGTAAGCAGGGCTCTCCCACAATTTTTTCTGCCACAGCCTGTGATAAATCCTTTGAACTAGAGGTATGTGGCCTGGAGACAGGAGCGTATGGGGAAATAGTAGGGGTTTTCCTTTGCACCACCAGTTAAGCAGAACCACTTTCTCAGACCCTAACCTAAATAGCAGGGCAGAGCTAGCTGGCAAACAACACTAAATGCTTTGCTGGGTAGGTTTGTCGCTTTGTTCCCGAATATACACTGAACCACACAGGAATATTGTGTCACCACATAGCACAAGGCTCTATAGCAGCTTGGGAATGACCACAGTGGCTACAGAATTTCTACACTGACCAGTGTTTACAGGACCCATTCGATTTCATCACCAGTACAGAGGAAATGGGGACTGGCACACTCTTAAAACAAATCTAGATTGCATCAGGTCCTATCAGGCCCACAATCACAAAGCTGCAAAAATCAACGAATCAACTCCAGTTTTGCTCCAGGTACACCTAAGATGTAGCTTGTAAGATGGATAGTAACATCCTCAGTACTTTGGCAATATCCAGATATATTTGGGCCAACCAAATACTTTCAGTACCCGGAACATTCAGTTTACATAGTTTTAATAAAAGTATGGGGAGATTTAAAATACTTCAAAATAAAGAATTAGATGGATCCTTACAAAGACATTACCTCCTACATCATGCAAACTCAGCCATTCCAAGACACTAAAATGTCCTTTCCTCCCCCTCTGCTTTTATGGCCATCAAGGGAACCTGCCTGTGACAGAGGTGATGTAGTATTTGGAGGGTAGGAGACTGGGGTCAGGATTTAAAACAATCAGAGAATTCCCAGGATGCTCTTCCGGAGTATCCCAATTAATTTTCTAATGTGAGGGACTCTCAGAGGACAGCGAACAATAAGTTCAAGACAGTGTTGATTTCTGTTCCCATAAAATGATATGAGCTATAAATGTCCCTCACATTTCCATGGGCAGATGAGATTGAAGAGCATCTCGCTGTCACTGTGCAGCAGCTGAGATAAAATTTGGGTGTGTTTAGATGTGAAGTCTGTACATGTGTGATCTAATCCTCTGGTTATAGCACCATGGAGTCAAGTTATGGAGTTTAATGCATACACATAACTCCCCTGAGAACCCAGTAACTAAAACAATAGTTGTTGTTTTTAATGTTTATTTGGGAATACACTAAATCCAGGGCTCAGTTACTCCGAATATTTTTAAACTTTTCATCTGGTTATCTATAAGCCAGGCATGAGGAGTGGCACCTATAACCATTTTGAGTTAAGCTTTGAAGAATGTTCTTATTTTTATTTTTATGTAAGTTTTGAAAGGATCAACTAACTGAAAGAAAGCCAAACTAATTCTTTCAAATTTTCCACAAAATGTGTACCTTTGTGTCACATCCAAGCATGTGAAGTTTGAGACCAAACAGAAATGTGTCAGAAAGTTAAAGGAATAGAGAACAGGGATTTTCACGGTGTTATTCTCCAGCTATCCAGCAGTAGGGCAATGAAAATGAGTTTTGCAGAACTCTATGGCAGCACATATGATTGTGTTATTAAAACTGAGTAAGCTTCTTAAATGCACTTGTGTGAAATCTGTTTTTTAATTACTTAGATCAAACAAAATTGACAGACTATTATAATCAAGAGCTATTTCAGCTTCTGATTTCTACATGCCAGGCAGCTCCACCGGTTCAAAAGAGGAAGGTTTGCCTGTTCAGGATGCATCTCCGAGAAGCTTTGTGCTGAGGAGGCACAGGCAGCAAAGTTTCATGACCTCACTAGTAGCCATATGAATCTGGACAAACAGAGAAAACTGTAGAACTGTAGAACAGCCATTATTTCTCATCTTTTTTGCCAGCAAATATCAGAAAACAAGATACACTCTTAAGGAGACTAAATAGCATGAAAGGAGAATGAATTTAGGATCAGGGAGAAAGAAAATGAAGAACAGTTTTTTGTCAGAAGACTATGCCTAGACATGTTAAAATGATGCTGTAGTTTCTTACAAGGGATTTGCACCAAACTGTTGTGTTAGATAAGAGGTGGGAACATGGTTTAATTATGCTCTTCAGAATTCCTAATATAACCAATAAACATCGCACTATGCAAGGTAATCAGCATCTGAAGAAAACATAAAATCACTACAGGAAAATGACCCACCCCTGAAGAACCCACAAGGTTTTGAGAAAAAAAGACGAGGAAAAGAGAAGAAAAATCGAAACCAAAGTGATCCTGGCTGGACTACAAGCACATGGTGCACTTACATGAAGACACCTTTTAAAAAAAATAAATGACTCAACAGTTGCTCTATTTATACAGTAAAAAGGAGTAGCAAAATTTGGGGGATCTAGAGGAAGATGTGATGATGACTTGGGAAAAATGAGAAATTTGTGGAGTGAGACAGTGGAATGTATAGAGGCTGGAGAGGCAGGACACCTCAGGGGCCATTGAAATAGGACAGATGCAGGAAAATAATTTTGTTGGTGCAAGTCTTTGTGTCTTTGGTGACTGTGCAGTCCTCACGATGCATCTCCACCAGAGCTTGCCAGCAAGATTGGAACTGAGGATCAGTTTACTAATTTCTCAAGACTCTCAGTTAACAAATGCCCTTGGGTACCGCAAAGACAGATCCCCTGTGACAGTCAACAAGAACTGGATTTGAAGTATTGCAAGGCAATACTTGCTAGAACAGACATATAAGGGGAGACTCTACATGTAAAGACAGAAAACCCCTAGAATCCATTTGCCAGGGATGAATGACTATTTATATCAGGTGGTTTTTAAGGTTATCCTTCCAGCTGATTCTTTTTCTTTTGTAGCATGATAGAAAAGGGTACAGGGAGAAACCTAGACAGAAAAGACTATTAGGTTGAGTAGCTGGAGCACTTGTGTCTATATAAAAGGAAGTGCCATGACTCAGACTGCCTGTAATTATATTTGCTGCTTTGGGGAAGGAGCGCTGAAGGTTCAGGCTTTTCTTCAGTCATACTCCTACCGTCTGTTCACATAAGGAAAGACCTTCTCATATTCACAGGTGGGGGGTACAAAAAAGAGGCAGGGGGAGAATGAAAGGACTTTATCCTGTTCCACAAATTTATGGTATAGTCATGCTTCCTTGGCACACTCAGACCTCCTGGATTCTACAGGAGTTTCAGCTGTGTTTGGGATTTATTGATTACTCAGAAAGAAGAAAACAACAACAAAAACCAGGAAAAAAATTTTAAAAGCAAAAAAATACCCCATTTATTAATAATAATTTTTTAAAGGTGAAAAGTGACATCAAAGGTAACATCTATGAAAGGGTGCCTTTAAACTGATTTTATTAACTCTTGGTATTCTCATCCAGCATATTTCAGTGCATTTTGAAGTAAATGATGGAAACTGATACTGAATAAAAAGGCCAAAATCATGGCACTGCTAAAGTCAGTGGGAGTTTTGCCATTGACTTCAGTAGGGCCAGGATTTCACCCTAAGGGTTTATCACCAAGGTCAAAGACAGAGAGTAATAAAATAACCACATGGATTTTTTTCAATACATTCAGAAAAACTGAACTGAAGGAAAGGAGTCTTAAAGGAACTGTAGGTTAAGGCGCACAAGCCCTGCAGCCTTTTAGGGTCAATTCCTGTGGCAACAGTGAAAGAGTTATGGTATGTGACACATCTGAGTGAACTGTAGCATATTTACATCTGTTAAACTTGTGAATTCCACACATTTCCCACAGGACACACGTTTCAATTCAAGAGGGCTTTGCTTTCCATAATTCAAATGTTGTTGCATTTACCTAGCTGTTTTAACATTCTTGGGTGTAGAAATTGAAAAAGAAATCACAGAAAGGTTTAGAAGACCAGCAAGTCACCTTTGTCATAGCTGTGCAGCAGTTTCTCCAGAAACATTGAAGGACAAAGCAAGGATGTGTCCCAATGACCCTGAACAATGCAGGTTTGCCCTCTGAAGTTTAATTCCATAACTCCTCAGCCAGCACTGACTGTGGATAAGCCAGAACAAAGACATTGAATGATGGTTCCCAGTTGTGACAACATTTAGGGGACTAGAGATATAATGGATTGCTCTTTCTTACAAACTCAATCTATCATCTACTTGGTAGTATTCTTTTTTGAGGGGAAGAGACAGTGAACGGGACTAAGGCTTTGTGATCTTCTGCAAAGCAATTAAAAAGTCTTGGGTTTTATGGTGAATGAAATCAAAAGGTTTTTTGAAAATAATCCTGAAATCCTGAGATTTCAATAAAGAAGAAAACTCTTTTGATCTGGGTCATCATATAACTTAGCAGAGAGATACTTCCATGTCACAGACATACAGAGAACAGTTCCAGATTCTAAAGAACAAATCACTGTTTCTGATAGCCCCTTCTGCCTCTGCAGGTTGATTGCAGCACTTGTCCTCAGCCCTCAGTGAAAATACAGGGAACCAATGGAAGAATCTGTGTTACTCAGTCCGACTCTCATTCCCTTCGAAGAAACACAAGGCAAGGGAAAAATAAATGCAGCTGCTGAAAATAGAGATAGAAAAGATTGATCTATCTTTCTGCCATGGGAGGACGGTTCACCACAGTGCATAGCCTGTGCAAAAGTAGACACCAGAAAACAGAACAAGGACCCAATGAAGACAGCGATATCCTGGGAAGGAAAATAAAAAATGTTGGTAGAAGAAGGATGATCTAACAGAGGAGATGAGCTGACTGTAAGAGTTTACCGAGGGAAACAAGTAGCAGAACAGAAAGAATAGGATATAGTAGGAAGCCAGGTCAGAAGGCTGGAGGGCAGAGAGCAAGGGTGTGCTTATCTATACATCTGTCACATCTCCTAACGACGTCATGTATAGACATAGCAGATTGCATGTGAGACACAGATGTGCCAGAACTACTACCTGTGCAACGCGTGCATCTTTGGGGGCCCCTTTGGTCTGGATTTGTATGTGTCCAGCAGACCTATGCACAGCCCTCTGAAAATCTGATTGATTGGTACCCAAAGTGTGTCTGTGTGACTGTCTATGTGGGGCAGATGAGGTAAAATAGAGTACTGCTAAGGATTTAGTCCAAACCAGTAGAGTGCTCCATGGAGAAATACAAGGCTAATTATGATTTAATTAAGTGTTCAATAAAGCACTGTGCTTCTCCTGCTGCAAACAGGTCCAGTGAGAAGGGCCAATTTTTTTGAGAATGCAGACAAGCAAAGGAAAACCAGGTGTGCTTATTCAGGATGACAAGATAACATTGTGACTGAAATAAGGTATTTCTCTGGGAAGGAGAGGAAGAAAGTATGTTTGTTTTTAAACAGTTATTCTGTTTTAAAAACTGAAGCCACCATAGGTTGTTGGCAGAAGGGTGGGGGAGCAGGAATGAGGGAGAAAAATTAGATAAAATTGTCACATTCTTGCACCAAGTGATGTAGTGAGGGAACCGAGAAATAATTTGACAGGGATTTTATGTTTGGACTGAGTCAGCCTCTTCCTTCATGAATCAAAAATAATAAATACAGTATTTCTAACATCATAAAATCCCCATTAAAAAAGTCCAGTAGCAGTAAGTTTTTGGAAGACGGGAAAAAAATCACACCAGGTTTACACTGAGAAAACTTTATGCCTTCAACATGTCAGATATTTTGGGAATGATTTACCACACTTTCCTCAAAATAAACTGTAAACTCAATGAGATTTAGACAGAAAACAGGCCTCCCTAGTGAACTTTGACACAAGAATAATGAAAGATGTGATTTGTTTGGGATTTTTTTTTCTTTGCTCCCTATTTAAATTACTTCCAAAATAAAAGTTCTTGCTAGAGAAAGGGAGGAAAAGGGCTCATTTTAAAACCATCTCATAACCTTTCAAGCACACTCTTCTTGGTTTCTAGTTAGCATCTTCAAGGCCTTCCTTAGGGATGTGAACCAAAAATTACTGACACCAGAGCTGAAGGATTGCGACTAACTTCAGTGGATTTGAGGCTTGTGTGTAAGCCAGACACCTAATACAACATTTCACAGATCACTGCCACCACCAACAAGATGACTTAGTTAACAGAAACAAGAGCAAACCTCCCAAGAGGCAGGAGGAGGACATTCTCCATGGATTCTTGGTGCCTGAAGTTCCCCTTGACACTAGAGACAGACCAAGAGAGATTTTGTGCTGTATTTGGAGCAGAGGACACTGCACTAAGCTTTCTGTGGCAGAGAGCTGCTGAGCAGCATGTCAGCATCTCTCCCATACTCCAGCTCCTCCATCATACAATGACAAACTGACATACGCGCACCTTAGAAAAGTGTGGATTTCATCTGTAAACCCATAAAACAGTCATAGATCAAGTAATACATTTTAACATCTTTTATGAGCTATCGCTTTTCTCCATGCCACCTCTCCTCCACTTTGTACTAATTTGTATTCAGTGCTGCAACTCTGAAAGCTCCTCTAAAACTTCCCAAGAGATCTATCATACCTTGCCTGTTTTCCCAGGTTTCTAAAATTAATTTAGATCAATTATTTAATATATTCAATCACTTTCTTTAAGCCATTTACTGCAGATATAGCCAATTATTCAACATAAAATACAGCCAGATCATTTCATCACAACTAAAAACATGATTTATCATCACATTCAATTAGAACCCACTGAAGTAAGTGGCAAAAGTCCCATTCAGTTGAATAAGGATCAAAGCCTTAATTTACAGTGTCATAGGAATAATGCATGGTAATGGAGAAAGCTGGGATACATACGGGATTCCAATTTCAAACAGATTGTTTTGAATCAGTTGTTTTCCAAGCATAATGATGCTCAGCTGAATACAGAGTTCCATCAAACAGCCTCCTGGAGCACACTGCAATTAAGCAAAACCATAGAGTGCGAAGGGAGTAAATTAATTAATTTAAAAGTACTCACTTGGAAGAGCTACTCATTTCTGTATGCTGTATGTGCCTGACACCCCTACTACCAATTTGTGCAGGAGCACAGAGCTCGTTGATCATTGCAATTCTATCCTTAACAAGGTATTTCATCTCTACTCATAAAACTGCATTATGGAAAATATGCAGAGCTCTGAAATAACTTAATGTGCTCTGGGGCTGCTATATCTCCTTTTAAAATATTTACTATATAATCAATGTAATAAACATAATGCAACATCACCAATACTCTTCCAACCTGATGTCTCCCAAGGGAGAGAAAGCCTTCAATCTTGCAAAGACTTATGTGTAACCTTTATTGTAAAACCTTGAGTACGTCTATTGATTTTAAAGGGAATACCTGCTGAGGTTAAAAGGAATTAAAAAAAAAAAAAAAAAAGTTTACAGATGTAGTATAAAATGGCTATAGCTGTTTAGACTACTTAAATTGTTATGCTTCTAGTGATCTACAGGATGTGAAGCCAGATTCAAATTCTGTCTCTGACATAGGTTTCCCAATGGCATCTGTCAAATCATCTGTTTGCACCTTAATGCTCAGTTGTAAAGCATAGAAATGGTAAAGCTTCACCTAGGAAAGTCTGCAAAGTGCTCAGAACTGCAGAAAGAGAGAACATACATGTGTCTCAGCAGGAAACTTTGGGGTTGGTCTATTTATGTTGAAGATTTAACATCTTGTTTTAATGTGTTTTCTATTTTTCTGTCATTGTCTAGACTCCACTGAATACAATGTACACATATCTCTTTTTGTTAAGGATTTTTTTGTTTGAATTTCAGGTGTACTTACCTCTTCCATTCGATAACCATCAAACACATATACATAATGACCAGGACGGCCAACAAATCTGAAAGCAATAAAAATATATGAAATAATATAAAAATAAGAAAAAAGTTAACTTTAACAACATAACCATTCATTCATATTAGCTGAAATATTTCAGACCTAGCAACTTTAACATGAATTTTAAAAGATGCGACACATATTCAACTTTGATTATTTGAAATTATTTCAAAGTAATAGGCCTCTACAAATGTTTTTCTACTACATCTTGATGAAATAATTTTAGTAAACTATTTTTCTGTGCTAAAATCATAATAAACTCCCTCTCTTGATTAGAGATCACAAATAAAAGGAGGAAAACTTATCCTAACTCAGACTCTCTTGCAACTGCATAATGTCCTGAATGGAGTTATTTATACACAGTCAAGGGTCTTCTGACTACACAGGGAGAAACAGTGTGATTGATTTTATTATAAACATACAACACCAAAGAAAGAGTTAAAAAAGAAAGAAATCAGTGATATTTTTTTCATTAATGTCCTGCAATATTTAAAAGTACCAGCAAAATGTATCATTAATTCTTAAATCAATGATGCTGAGTAGGATTAGTGAGGAGGATAGATTAACATACTTTACAGCCCCCAAAAGGAACAGAAAAATGGTATGAAACAGAATCCAGAGGATGTTTTAAACATTTTTGCCAAAGTTTTAGCAAACAATCATTTTATGCTTCTCATTCAAAAGCATGTGTTATACTGTGAATAACCGGGTCCCAAAAGACAGTGATCCTGAACCCATAGGAAGTCACAGTTATTTAGCAGGACAGCTGAATTAGCTTTTTGGTCAATCAGTTCATTTGCCAAAACATGCAACTTCCAGTTGACTATAATAATTTCTTAATTTAACTTGATACGGGCGAATAGTAAAAAATGTTGAGAAAATAGTAGAGAAAGTAGTTCCATAATTTTAAATGAAAGAGGAAAATCTTTCTTTGATAAATGATGCTTCAAGAAAAATTTGTTAAAATGTGGAAGGTGAAGACCTGTAAACTATACTGTTCACTCATAAATGCAACACCCTTTTTAACTAAATGGAAATATTTTCTGATGTGTGGGTTATTCTTATTTTAAAAAGAAAACTAAAATAGCTGCATTTCAGAACAGTGCTCTACTTAGAAGAGAGACAGGATAGTACTCAACATCATGCCTTGTCATTCAAAAGCAAGACAACCCTGTGTATGAAATCTTTTCATAGCTGGTGAAGGTAGACAGACCCAGACTTAGTTAGGTAGACTTTTACAGCCATTTTTAAACACAGATCCACTAATGTAGACACACAAACACATATATGTATATTATATATATATATACACATAAATATCTATATGTAAAGGGTATTTATCCTACCTTCCTTTAAAAAAGGCAACATAAAAAATTGATGCATAAGAATTCACAAACTTGAGTAAAAATGCCTTCAAAATCAGTCTTTCCTCAAAGGTTTTCTCTGTTTTTGGTACCTCTGGGAAAAAAAAAAAAAAAAAAAAAAAAAAAAAGAAGAAGAGTAAACCAGAAAAATCCATTAATAAATAGCTAAACATCCCTGTTATCTGCAAATACAACACTAAACTGCAAACTTCGAGCTCATAATGCTTTTGCTTTTGTACTCTTCATTTGTACCAATGCACACTAGCTCTGTCACTGACTCCTGATTTCCAGAGTGTTTTTCCAAGTTTTCCAAAAGAAATTGAAAAGCCTTTGATAGAAACATTATAATAATGACAACATAATGAACTTGATTCTCTGATAGACCTCTGACAGTTTATCCCAAGTTGCTCATAGCTGTCTCTCCAATACTCTGGTAGCAAAAACTCCAACAGATCCTGACACCTGGTCTAAACCTGACAATACATCATTTCTCTTCCAGTCTCTTTCACTGCCTTGCTGAGACCTGAGCAGACCACATCACCTTCCCCTGCTTTAGGCCACATCTGTAAATCCTTAGCACAAAACTCCTTTGTCATTTACTCTGACATCTATTATATTATGAACTATATAATATAATTATATATATTTCTGTTAACATAATGTATTAATTAGTAGTAGTAATAATAGAAATAATTATTGTATAAGTACATGGTTCTTCTACTGGCTATCTAGAGTTTGAAAAAAAATTGGCTTCTGATATTCAATTACATAAAGCTAAAGCAGTATAAACAGCTTTAATGTATATAAGCAGATGCATCTTAACATGGACAGTTTATCAGTTATACAAGTGAAATAATAAAGCATTAATATTCTCGATTCATGAATGATGAAAGCAAAATACAAAGACTTTCATCCAGAAAAAACACCTTAAAAGACTTCTTATCTTTGTGTGCACAAGCCTTTTTTCTATACTGAGACTGTTAATGTGCTTAATGCTAAACACAAGGCTAAGTATCTTTCTGAATAAGGCATTAAGTGAACTGTTAATTGCCATAAAAAATAAATGTACATTTTTGCTAACACTTCTCCATGCACTATATACATATCCCACAGTTCTAGACTTTAGATGACTTGTAAAAATATGTCTTAAGCATGTTCAGTATTCATTACTCTGTTCCCAGATTTATTTCCAATTTCTATGGAAATTTTCTAGCAACAGAACACATAGGTATGAGACAGAGGCTTTTCTGATTGACAGTAGGATCCTCTTTTAAAGATTCTATGTGGATTAAATTACTGTATTGCCATGATCATCCTGAGCTGTTAACTAATATGAGAGCAGATAAATTTATTGTGGTGTGTTCTCGTCTGAATTTCTGTAGCACATTGGAAGTGTGAAATGATAAAGTAGTTCCAGAGCTCTGGCTTTAAGAACTTCATTAAAAATACTGCTGTACTTGTACAGTTTTGTTTTGAGGCACAGTTTGGGCGGTTTTGTTGCTTTGGGATTTTTTTCTTAAAAAAGAAGCATGGTGTTTATTTGAGCACTAAAGGAATAACAAAACACTAATGAGTCCCCACTGCCCAGCTTTATTTGTGATACTTTCAACCATATTTTCATAAACGGTCAATACACAACCTGGTGAGCCCTAAGCCATCATTCACCTATATGTATAGAAAAGCTTAATTAAACTTTTGAAGGATTTGAACAATTTGTAGATGATCCCATACGCTGGATAGATCCTCGGGACAACAGCTCAGGGCAGCAGGAATATCAAATAACAGCAGTGCAGCTTTTAATGTGAGGGAGAAAAATCCTAGAAATCCTAGCCTTTCCCTTATGGAGAACTCCCACAAAGATGAGCTCAGCCTCTGGATGAAAATTTGCACACCATATATGGTTCCAGAGACTCGCTCAGCACTTCACTCCCTCCCCACACTCAGATATACTATACCATACCAATAGAGGCATGCACAGAATTTGTCCTCTAGCTAGGGGAGTCTGCTACATAAGAAATGCATCCAGCCAGAATAGATGCATTAGTAAGAGAGAAAACGTTCAAAAAAAAAAAAAAAAAAAAAAAAAAGAAACAAAACCAAAAACCCCACTCATAAAATACATAAAGTATGGCTGGTTTGCAGCATGTTACACCAAAATTGGGCAGCTGAAACTTTCCAGGTAGAGAATGAGCTGAAATATCCGGGGCATGAGCCTTAGCTCACTGAAGGAATTGCTGCCTTTATAAGGCACAAACTCAAGTAGTTTTGATTTTGTCCCTGTTTGACTGGTTCTGCCTTGAGCTAAGTGAAGTTAAAAGTGAACAAATGAGTTGTAAGCCAGTCTGACACCACCTGATTACTGAAGATGACATTTCAACCTGAGAATACCAGGATATAATCTGCACTTTTGCTGGTCTGATCTGTGGTAAAGGAGCGTCAGTGCCTTGCTTTGCTGGATCCACAAGAGGTGCATGCAGTCCTAGAGCATGTTGGATGAGCTCTCTGAATTGATTACAACAGTACTTCTACTTTTTTCCCCCCACGCACTGATTCAGCAGGTATTGAGGCAGATCATTACTCTGATCCTATGAAGAATGCAACTGCTCTCAGTGGTACTATTCTTGTGTTTACAGATGTACTTAATATTTCACTTCAGCAAAGATTCAAGTATGCTTGGGGTTGGAATAGAAATATATGCTATCAAAAGCTGTACCTCCAGCCCAACAAGTATGTTCCTCAGCTTGTTGATTAACTGCAGGGCGAAAAAATAATTGAGTATATTTTGCTCTGCTCAGCAAAATGAAAGTTCACAAGGTAAGGAGCATTTATCAGGATGAATGAGTTGTAATATTTTTTTTTTTAACATTATGATTATAGTTGGCATCTGAGCCTAGCACCGGAGAAAGCAGCCTGAATGAACTTTCTAACTCAAAATTTGTGGCATTAGAGATTACTCTTCTTAAATAATACATTGGATGGTTAAATAGGAATGCTGCCTAAATAAAGATAGGAGGATTAGAATTAAATGCAAAGTGATGCGGAGAATAACCAGCAAGGAGGAATTTGTTGTTTCTCTCACAATTCAGAGTGTTGCACATTTCAAAGGGAGAGATTTTCCTTCTGTGCTTTCCCCAGAGCACAATGGCTGTGGCTTGCATTTCCCAACTTCTGCCTAGAAACTGCTAGAGAGGAGAAGCCTCCCTCTTCCATCTCTTCTTACTTGTTCCACACAACAGTGTCATGCCTTAAGAGCTGTGTGCTTTCTTACCTGGGCAGGTGCAGTGGACAGAATTGATCGGGTCACACACAGTTATCAGCTTGTCAGTTATATGAAAGCTGAAAATTTGGGTATGATTTTAGCCTGGACAGTAAACCTGATTTTCCTTATGCCACTAGAACAGAGTACATTTGTGGAACCCTGCTACATTCTGCCCAAAGCTGGTTTGAAACAGAAACAAACAAATTAACCCCATATGGTGGCATTTTGTGTTGCTTTGTCTTAATTTCTTTCAAATACTTTACAAATTTAATCTAAACTATCAGGCTATCCTTACTGGTAAAACCACAGGACCATATTTCAAGAATTCGGGATTAAAAATCTTTTATGCTAACTACAGAACTTCAGTTTATGATGTTCTTCAGAAAATAAAATTAAAATAGATTTTTTCACTTGTGACTTTGAAAGTATCTTGAGAAAATGTGAATAAGAAGCATAAGTTTTAAGAGTTCTTAAGATTTTAATCTGAAGTCTGCTAGTTCCAGCCAGCTTCACATCACTGTAGGTTTTACAGGGAGGGAATATGCAATTTCGAATTATTGAGTCTGGCTCAAAATTATTGAGTCCAGCTTCAATTATCAAAAAGTTTCTCATTTGGATGCCTAACTTTAGAAACCCAAATCTGATAGGTAGAGCACTTGATAACATTTAAAGGGGTCTGTGGTTGCTGATTGATTTTCAGTGTTTTGAATAATTGACTTTACGTTCCTAGACTTCGAAGCATATAGAATTAGAGGTAATGTATAAAAACGTGGGAAACAATACTTAATGACAGCTATAAGAATCTCACGTTAACATCTAACAACTTTGGCTTAATTTATATAGCAATATAAAACCCCTGCCTGAACCCCTATTAGTAAATATCTTTGGCCTAATGTATATTACAAAATAAAACTCTAGCCTAAACCCCAAAAGTAGTCAAAGGACTGGCTCACCTTTAAAAGAGTTAAATATATTGCCAAGCTTGTAACAATACAACATTAAAAAAGAAAATATTCACCGCCTAACTGAAATAGATATTATTACTAAAAAATCCAGCCCAGACATGCCCCTGTAATGGTAAAAAATTCCTTTGAGTGGTAAGGACCTGGTAAAAATCACATCAGCAAAATAACACAACAAACATTTGCCAGAGTAGCTTTGCCAGAGCCAGAAACATTTTTGAAACAAACCAATGACTTTCAGTAATCCAAGCTCCTAGAGGTAAAGATATATATCAAAACACGTATCAGGTCAAAAATTCTCAACCAGCTTTAGATGAGTGGATCTTGGCACAGAGCCAGCGCAATGAAGCAATACCAGCTGAGATCCTGGAAATAGCACAGCTGCGTTAACATGGCATTATGGCCAGGCTAATTAGTCCTATTAGTGGCACACTGCATGTTGTGGCTTAGACCCCTAGTTCACAGAGGCATGTCTGAACATCTTACCCCGTAGGCCTGAATATTTTCACCGGCACTCTTCAGTGGGAAATATTGCTATTAGAACCTCCTTGCATGTTCTCGTGTAAATACATGTAATGTACTAAGGAGGAATGTGGTGAGATAGTTTTACCAATTTCCGTCAGCCATTTGGCAACAGCTCCATAAATTTCATCAAGTATAAGTATCACAACGAGGTTAATGATGACAGCAGTTGCGGTCACAGTCACTCGAACATTTGATCTGGTTGTCTCCTTCGTGCTGAATGACAAAGCTGCTGCTGTTGTGATCCGGTACACAATCACACCAAACACTGCTGAAAATGTCAGCATAATCTGCAAAGAAATGTACAAATAGATTAGTTCAAGTTTGATACTAGCATTTAAACAGAAGCTTTGACTGACATGTTGGGTTTGTTCCCTGAATTGGCATTGTGGGTTATTTCTTAGAGCAACAATAATATGGGGATAATCAAATTAAAAAGTGAGAATTCAGAATTCCCTAACAGGAACATCATGAAGAAACTGGATGCAGAACTCTGAACTGGCACAACTATTCCTGAAGATGTGCATGTTCTCTCTGATTAAAGCTCCACACATTATTCACACTGTACTGGTGAAACTCAGGTAGTTTGGGTTCAAATGCAGGTATTAAGCAAGGTCTTTTATTTGGCAATAGCTTCAGATGGCTTGGACTGAAGGGCCTACATGTATGTGCAGACCAGTAAATCGGCTTTACGGGCTGAAACAGCTTCACATCCGCACAGCAGAAGTCACACCTTACTCTCCAGTTGTGTTTACTCAACTCTTACAACAAATTAAAAAAAAAAAAAAAAAAAAATGTAAATGTTTCTCTTGTTCTTATTTTCTTAAGACTAACCTAAGTAGCGCTACTAGGTCTTTACTTTACATTTCTGTCCCAGAAATCTTTTAGTATCTGGCATCCTTCATGGGCTGGCTTTGACCCATGAGATGAGGAAAGTTAGCCCTTCTACTTAAGGTCAAGTTCCCACAAGAATAATTTGAATTTCACAGGGCTGTGGTATTCTGGTTTAAAAAAAAAAAAAAAAAAAAAAAACAAAAACAAAAAAAAAAACAAAACAAAACAAAAAAAAAAACAACAAAAAAAAAAAAAAACACACAAACACCCCACTATGAAAATAAAATCTATAAAATAACAATAAAACCCAGCAAAATTTCATAACCATAGCAGGCAAGGGGCAGAGAGTACATTTTTCTCTTTAATTTTTGCCTTTAGCAAGAATTCTAATATACATTCCTTATTTCAGGTAAAACATCTTGAGATCCTAAGATGAAAGAGACTATCTAAATGTGAAAGATTAGACTATTGCAATTATTTCAACGGGCCTAGAGGCCCAGATTCACAATGCAGGTTTATGGAAATTTAACAGTTCATTTTAATGACCCAGCAATAATTTATTGAATTCCTGTATACTGAGGAAGGTTGTCTTATGAAAAATACTACTGCAGAAAAACTAGAACAAGAATCAGAGCTATATTAAAGACTGAAGATAAAACCTGGGCACATTTAGTTATAATGCAGAACTAGTAAACACTAAAAAGTAACAATTTGGAGAAACTCCTGGAGATATCGGATGAAATTCACAAGTATGTTTTGTGAGAAAATAGTAATAAAATGTTAGATCTAGTAAAACATCTAATTTTGAATTTTAAAGAAATGTTTCATTAATTTTAAATGAAATGTGGGTGAATGATTAATTTTTCCTTCATGCTAGTATTTTTCATTCAAATGCTGGTCTAAAATAAAAAAGTCTAAACATAAAATATTTTGAAAGAAAGTGTTTCAAATTACATAAAATATTATTTCCTTTCCTTTTATAGTTTTCATTGTGTTGAGAAAACAGCTCTAGTTTTTCTGCCTATTTTTATATTTTTCTTTTGTCTTGCCTACCAAACATGAAGACAGAAAACTGATTCACGTTGAACTATCTTCTGTGATGGAAGGGGTGCAGGAACACAACCATCAGAACTTTTACCTAATTTGCCCATTGCAAAAGTGATCATTGCAGTAGAGAATAATATCCCCAATCAAGAGAGAAAACAAAAAAGCACCACCTGGCAGTAATCTAATTCACCTTCCATCTCTACGGTCACCTTAAACTCTTTTCTTTTAGTTTGGATCACAGATTCCTTCCTCTTAATCACCTTCCGGATACTCTTTTTCTGTTTCTTTCCCCTCTGGATTTCTTTGAAATTTTTACTATAATGGTGGACAAGGAAGACCAGCAAAGTAAACTTGTATGTATCACTCTGGAGATTATGAGCTCTCTGGGCCTCCACAGACACCTGTCTCCATCACAAGTTTTCACTTCAATATGCTATCTTAACAGTTCAGGAAGAAGAAACATCAAGGACAGCCATCACTAAACAGAGAAGGAGGAAGTTTCAGATCATGGAAGTTGAATAGCAAATTCTTAAACCTGACCATAGGATTTCAGGGATCCACAGCAATGAGGAAAATTATTGGAGGACGAGATACTGTTAGAGGCTTGTGCTATTGCAGCCTTTTCGATTTGTGCAGTGACATAGCAAGATATATAAAGTTACCCAAAAATATGTTCTATTTGTTTAAAGAACAAAGGTATTGACTTTTCAAAAGCACCAGGGCTTCGGAAACTCCTCATTTGCCCAGCTGTTTTTAAACATCTGCTTAGACACAGATGGAAAAACATTCCTTTAGGAGCCTTCATTATCTGCATCCAGCAAGAGAAAATTGAGGAGTGCTTGTAGGACTGCACAGTAAGTGAGAGCATAGTTCTCACTCCCCAGATGGTCACTGAGAGGGAGTGGTTCCTGTATCTTCACAGCATTTTCCCCATTCCTTACAATGCATCTTTTGACCAAATTCCAGATTAGATGTTCACCTTTCATTCAGGTGTTTATTTTGTTTTTTGTTGTTATTTCTGACTTTTCATCCAGCCAGTTCTATCCCCTAAAATGGCAGACAGTTTCTTCACTGAATATCTAAACTAGTCTGTTAAGGACTGAATTGCTTAGAAACAGATGTAAAAATTGGCTACAGAGAAGGTCACCTACTGAGCCTGGTATGAATGAAGACAAACAGGAAAGCATACTGGATCTGAGAAGGAAGCTATAAAACCCCGTGGGCTAGACAGATACCTTCATCCAAGCAGGATAACAATTTAATGTCCAAATAGTTCTTTGTCTTCCCAGTGGGGCTATTCTAGAGTCAAGTATTATGCCATGTGAGTAAGAATAGGTCAATAGCATCTAAAAGAAGGAACAGGCTGAACTCTTGTGCCATGACACTTCCTTTCTCTAACTGAGCCAAATGCAGTGAACCCAAAAAAGGCTCCAGTGATGGCACTGTTCCATGCCATCCTGCTCTCTTCCAGCAGCTACTAATGTTTTCATCACATACTCAGAAATCTTCACCGTAACATGCACCTTCTAAATGTAGTGTTTCTAAAGTGTGACATGTGCTATTACTAATCACACACAAGCCAAACTTGTATATGCCCAGCTGAGCCTAGAATTCCTGCTACCAGTGGTCTTACTGGGCAAAAACACGACTTGTGAACTTCTGTTCCAAACTCCGTGCAAAAGACATTGCTTAAATCAAGGTCGGATCTTATGCGTCCTCTGCAGACAGGTGAGGCTTTGTGTACAACAAAAAAGATGTGACCAGATTTTAAAGCATCCATAAATGTGTAAAATAACCCTTAGAATTATTTGGTGGTGTAAAACACCAAGACCAGCTGGGCAAGAGAACCAAACCCAATGTTTTTTTTCAAACCACACTTTTAAAGAAACAAACAGCATACTTAGCCTAATAAAGATAGATGAAAAGCCTAAAAGAAAAAAAACACAACATCCTTGAAAGAGGATTCTCAAAAATTAAGTGTACAAATAAGTATGCAAATGAAAATTAAAGAGAAAACCATTAGCAGCTTCGGGAATAATCAGGGAAAGTATAGCATGTAAAGCTGGGGGAAGGAGGGACAGAACACAGCAGCGTCATTCTATAGCAGTGTAGACATCTCCATGGAAAATACCTATGGATTTGTGCTGCCAGACCCTTTGGGCCTGGAAAAGGTAATATTAACAATTCAAGAATCACTTCTGCAGCGCTAGAAATAGCAGCACGTGTGTGTGCCTATCTTTGCCTGATTCGTCTATGTCTGTATACTGTATATGTGCACATGCACACATAAATTCAAGATTTCATCACCTATTATGTATGTACTTCTCACAGCTAAAAGAATTAATCCATGTGAATAATAGTAACAGAGGTAGATGACACCAATTACGTTTCCTCAGTGCAATTCTGTTGCACAAGTTGACAGCAAACCTTAGTCTGGTGTTTCCAATTCCTGTTTAACTAATCTAGCAGAAAAAAAGAGAAGCATTACATACAGTCAAGTGCAGATTATAATCTCCACATGGGAAAGCAGAGCTGGCTCTCCCTCATCAGGAGGTGACTTGAATTTCATGCATGGTTTGTAAGTTGTCTCCTATAAGTGCTGACATGTTACTAATGCTCAAAATATTATAAAAAAAAAATCATAGTGGCCTCTTCTCCAAATGGTGAAAGCCAATGTATTTCCACTAGAAGTTGAAGAATTGGATCTCTACATTTTACCTTTATAAATCTATATGAGATGTAACAGTAAGAAGGTAGTGTAATACATGAGATATGACTCAGGAAAACACTTTAAGCTCATGCTTGTGGGAGATTTAAACATGTGGTTAAAGTCAAAAGCACATGTAAGCACCTTGTCTGCAAAAGAATGACTTGTAAAAACTAAATCATGGCTATATGCTTAGTCATACTCAGTATACTCTGCTTTAAGCAAAGTCCCACGTGATGCCAGTTAGAGGTTCTGTCTAAAAAGTAGACGCTCAGGATGATAAACTCACTTGAAATGTTCTAAGTACATACATATGTATATGAATGAGACACATAATATATACAGAAAATATACTTAATATAAAATATATAGCTTCATAAAAATATACACATATATTTATACAAATGCAGACATTAATTTGATTTCAATGTAAATACAAAATGGTTTTGATTGTCACCAATAGAAATTAAATCTTCCCATTACATCTGTTCCAGTATATGCAAATTCCAGTATATTAGAAGTACACTGATGTATTTTAAAATAATTTAGTCTCTAAGTAAATTTCCCATTTTCCTGTGGTGTAAACCAGCATATTTCATTGCCATTTTATACTGGCTCTGTGAACACATTATTTCATTCAGTAGTTTCTGTAACCAGAGGGATAATGGGATCCTTGACAAGGTAATGTAAGGTTTAATAGCTAAGGTTTTCCTATTTCTGATTACAAAGATTAGCAGCTTGATGATGTGTTATGTTCTGTTGGAAATTTCACTAGGACAGTGGTGTCCACACTTTACAGTTGGCTGACCTGCATAACTTATTCTTATTCTCAAGTGAGGATTGTATACCATGGTCTTCCTTGACTACAGTATAGTCCATCCCTGAATGTGTGTTGGACACATACTTCTCAGCAACAGATTTATTTCACCTGCATGCCATCTGTTCAATAGGCTCAACCCTTTCTGTATGTCGTTCTGACAGAGCATATGCAATACTGTGCAAACAAGCAAATGCACAGTAGGCTTCCCTTCATCAGATAATGGAGGATGGAGCAGAAACCAAGTAACGAGCTGCTGTCATTACAGCAAGTCATCCAGCCAACAGCTCTCTCATAAACAGCCTTTGGAAAAAGAGAATAAAGCTGGAGGTAAGCATTAAGCTCTACAAGTCTTCCTAGTAGGACACATATTTCTCACAAACTGTAGGTTATAACCCTAGCTTTCTTCCAATTTTTAGCAGCTTTGAGAATTCTAATTCAGAATTCCACTCAAGATGCTCATTGCAAAGTTTCTCACACCTAATAAATGTGCAGAAGTGCAGATTATATTACCATAAATAAAATCAATCCAAAGTTTGTTGCATATCCAGGCATACGGTCACTCCACGTCAGCTTCTCTTCATCCTGTGACAAAACACAAAAATAAAATAACAGACATTAGAGAACTTTACAATAGCAAACATTAGTAAGATCTGTTACTGAAAAATGTTCTCAATCCCCCTTCTGCTGTTGTAATTTTGAAGGTGATTATAAGATTTAGAACATGGATATTTTAAAGCAGATTTTCATTTGAGAGAAAATATGGTAAGAGGATAAGTAAGACATATTGAAAATGTCTGCAAAAATCAGAAAATATACATAACTATGATTTTAATATTTGAAAACTTGTATTCAGATCTTACTAGATTTCATAATATCAGGAGAAAGCCCTGAGAGTCACCTTAATTTACATTTAGGCAAAGCAAGATTCAACAATTTATTTTGAATTACTTCTTGTAAAACTTCAGAAGAATAGTGATTGAGACGGACATGATGAGAAGAATGTTTACTACCACTGAACCCAGATTTTCTGTCTAATGACTACCTTAGCCAAATGTAGCCCCTAAGATAGTTCTTGAAAAGACAACCCAATCCTTCTCCTGGTACTTGGTCTGTAGAAAAGAGAAACTACAAAGGCAGGCCCCCTCTGTGATCTCTGCTGCCAACTTGTTTTCTTCATGAGCAAACAGCATTTCTCTCTTCTTTGCATAATTTAAAGCAACTGTGATCAGTGAAATCTAGTATGCTTTAACTGTCCCCACACAAACCTAACTCCATCTCTAGAAACGTTTACATCTAAAGAAGATATTTGAAAGTGGATTTATATAAGAAATATGATTCCTTTCTCTCAAAATAGGTTTCTTAAAATAACAATAAAGTCATTACTTTGTTTAAGTTAAAATAAAACTATATAATCAAATTAACTAAGGACACAGAGCCAGCTGCTGTTTGTATTTCTGTGAACTACCGTTGCTATCCCATGGACAAGTAGTTCACTTACATTGGAGTTAACCCAGTTATTCTGAATTTAAATGAATCTAAATCAGATTAGAATTCAGGTCAAAGGTTTCAAATAAGCTATTTCCAAGGCACAATTGTCCTCAGATAAAAATAAAAATCTGTGAGCATTATGCCTTTGTAAGAGACTTTCCCAAAGTAGTACTAGGTATACAGTATATACTGCAAGTGCAGAAATGCAGCTAGCTGTGACTTTTCTCATGAAGTTTACTGGGATGTGGAATTAAACCAAAGACATGATCCTTTCTACACAACCGTTGCCACTGTGGTGGTACCTCAAACACTGTAAGAAGTAGTATTACTCAGCATCCCCATCCTCTCAGCTCAGCTGTTCAAACAGAGAAGTTGAGCATGTCTCCTTTGGGAGAATGCTGGCAGGACTGGGCCATAGCAAACCCAAGCAGAAGCACAAATAATTTGGCCCAATGCATGCAGTACATAGGTACTCCGTACAGTACATAAATGGAGTCCATCTTTTAGCTGGAAGGCTACTTTAAAAAGCATTTCTGTGAAAGCACAGATGCATTTCATTTCATTTTGGCTTTTACCACTCAGCAATTGTACAGGCCATAAAGAAGGTCTAAGTGATTATACTCCAAGAAGGCCTGAAGGACACCATGTCTAACAATTTCTCTAGGGGAAAAATACTAAAGAAGCAAAACAGCAGAATGAGTTCATGTTAGCCAAAGCAGTTAAAGGAAAAAATAAAATCTTTTATAACCATACTGAGGTGGAAAGTAAAAATTGTGATTTATACAAAAGGTCCAGAAAGAGACAAAAATGATGCAGAAAATTACTTCAAAAATCTCTCTAGCAGTAAGAGTTTTGGAAAATATGAAATCATAACATCAAGATCAAACTTTCACATATCATGAATCATGCTTGACAAATCCTGAGTGACAAAGTGAGTAGGTTTTTCATGTCTTGGGGGTTTTTTGTTCAATATTTCTGGTAATGTAAGAAATATATTTTGGAACATCAGTCAAGATTCTGAGATGATTTACTGGCTTTCCAAGTCAAGAAAAAAAACACATGCTGATAACACCTCAGCAACTTACAAAACTGAAAAATCAGGGAATACCTTAAGAAACAGTTGTCCATTATGAAAAAGAAATAGCTATTTACCCTGTTTGCCCCACGCCCCACACACACCCCTTTTTTTTTTTTTTTTTTTTTTTTTTTTTTTTTTTTTTGGTAAAATAGAGTGGGATAGTTACAGGAAAGAAGAAAAACTGGGAAAATTGAGTAATGACTGACATGTACTTTTAGAGATGAATATCAGAAGCTAGGGTGTGCCTAAACCTACACTGTTAGGCATTAAGAGACATTAAGATTAACCTGTTTCAGGGTCCCAACTTCAGGAGAGTTTAAGGACTGCAGTTATTAGAGTGTTTGCCCTCTTTAATCTCAGCATGTGCATTAGGAACATAGAGACATCTAACATAACCAGTCATTTTGGAAGCCCTATGTTTAGCACATGAATATTTGTTTTAGAAATATTATTGCTTATCAAAAGCACTTTGTGTCTGATGAGTTCAATAAAATAAGTTCCTGGAATAAAGATTTAGAAGCATAACTGATTCTTAAAATTTAAATATATTACTGGGAATTGCTAAATGAAATATGGACTGCCTCAAAAAAAAATTTACCCTGCTCAAAAGGCTAAAAATAGTCCTTTCTCTTGTGGTGGGTTGACCTCGGCTAGCTGCCAGATGCCCACCTAGACACTCTCTTACTTTCCCTCCTCAACAGGATTGGGGGAGAAATTAAGTTGAAAAAGCTTGTGAATTGAGGTAAAGACAGGAAGATAATAGTGCTATCATGGGCAAACCAAACTTGACTTGGGAATATGAATTTAATTTATTTATTTAAATTAGGTGTGCATGGTAAGAAGTGAAAAGCAAACGAAAAACTCCTTCCACTTCATCACCCTCACAAATTCTTCCGAGGGCCAAATTCAGCCCTTCATTCCTGCTTCCTCTACCTCCCTCCCCAAGCTGTGCAGGAGGATGGGGAATGGCAGGTTAATGGGGTCAGTCCATAACAGCTCCTCTCTGCTGCTCCTTCCTCCTCACATTTCTCTGTAGCTCCATCGTGGGCCCTTCCATGGGCTGCAGTCCTTCGAGATAATCCTGCCCCAGTGTGGGCTCTGCAGGGGAATCTCTGCTCGGGAGCCTGGAACACCTCCTCCTGCTCTCACCTTGGTGCTCACAGGGCTGATTCTCACATTTTTTTTTTCCCCCTCTCTCCTCACTGCCACGCAGCGTTTTACCCTTTCTTACACACGCTTTCCCAGAGGTGTCATCATCTTCCCGAGGTGCTCAGCTGTGCCCTGCAGTGGGTCTGTTGGAATGGCCCAGGCCCCTCCGCACAGAAGCCACCCCTGCAGCCACTGCTGCCGCTGCCTGGGCACCAGCACCCAGACATCGATGGTGTTGGTGCAAAGGCATAAAGAAAATCACATTTCCTTCGGACACTGAACATGCCAGCTCAGAGTGAACAGAGCTCAGTGGAGTGACAGACACTTTGGCAGTGTTTCCCCAGTCTCTTCTTGCAATGAATGACACAAAGGGGGCAAACAGGGAGAGGAGACAGGAGAGGGTCTGCGTGGGAAAGGACAAGTGGATAAAGGAAGGAAGAGAAGATCAGCATATCATCTAGTCAGCTTTCTCTTTCATACATGCGCTTCCTTTAACCTTAGGTGACTTTGTCATGAGTTTGCCACTCTCTGTAGCACCTAGCCAAAGGCACATCTGAACAACGTGCCTGAGTTGCTACGCCATTAGGAGAAGAAAAAAAAAAGCTCGCTGAAAATATTACTGAGTTACTTAGCATACATGACACAAACCAAATTCTGAAATTTAAATCAATATAGTAGGCAGCTGAATGCTAAGTTCTGTTATGGCTCTTGCTAAAATAACCAAATCTGTAAATTCTCTTGGTATTTTCTGTCGCACCTGATTCTACTCTCTGGCAATAGTGCCATCTAGCCGTTAAAATACTGTACTGTGAGGTATCAGGAACACCTTGTCTATGATCGAAGTATTACACTTGCACACTGCAGCAAGTGCGGTTTATCCTAAATTAATGGAATTTATTCATACATTTCTCATAGGATACAGCACAGACCCCATTCTAATCAGTAATGTGCATTACAGAACATTGCCTAGATTTTAGAAAGGAGTAGGAAAGCTCTCCTGAAAGTCGATGAAAACTCATCCAAGAAAGCAGGGAATCTATCTGGAGCAGCCCAAGAGGAGTATGCATTTATTGATGTAACAAGATGAAACCAATCATCTGAAGAACAATCTCATTGACAGATATGTTACACTATGGAATGTGGTGTTGAATGTGTTCCGTGCAGGAGTACAAGTCTTTCCCATTAGAAAAAAGGAGAGGAGAGGAGAGGAGAGGAGAGGAGAGGAGAGGAGAGGAGAGGAGAGGAGAGGAGAGGAGAGGAGAGGAGAGGAGAGGAGAGGAGAGGAGAGGAGAGGAGAGGAGAGGAGAGGAGAGGAGAGGAGAGGAGAGGAGAGGAGAGGAGAGGAGAGGAGAGGAGAGGAGAGGAGAGGAGAGGAGAGGAGAGGAGAGGAGAGGAGAGGAGAGGAGAGGAGAGGAGAGGAGAGGAGAGGAGAGGAGAGGAGAGGAGAGGAGAGGAGAGGAGAGGATAAAGCACCATTTAGGCCTTGCTGAATGGTTTATTTCCTTATGAGTTACCTAACAGGGCAAAGATCCAACATGTGCAGTTCAGCAAGCTCAGGTGGGCCTCTGAGATGTGAAAACCTGGAAATATACTGCATTTGGACAGCACCAAGCAACTTTGTGAAAACAGTTCTACATTTCTCTGTGAATTAAACCACAGCCAGTTTGCTCAGGTCACAAGTATTTCAGTTATTTATTTATATTGTCCCACAAGAGAACACCTCCTCAAAGCAGGTGTTTCTAAACCATCAGCCATGCCAGCTCAACCTGCACTTGGGGAGTAAAGCAACATATTTTCTTTCTTCTGCATCCAGCTTTGTAACTCCAGTTCTGAAATTCAGGCTTTTCAGTGCAGTTGCACCTGGGCA